CAAAAAAAAAAAAAAAAAAAAGAAAGAAAGAAACTCAAATGGCCTTATAAATTAGTGACTCAAATGAGAAATTAGGAAAAGGAAGGATTAGAAAATTTTTCCTGCTTCCTTCCTTATTCTTTAAAGAATGTTAATATCCCCTGGTAATAATTTAGTGAGGTTATCCCTTACCTTCTCAGTGGCACACTGCTGTAGTTTGGATCTTGCACATCCTCCAAAGGTCCATGTGTTGAAAGCTTGGTCCCCACCCTGGGGCACTATTGGGAGGCAGTGGACTCTGTATAGGGTGGGGCCCAGTGCGAGGAAGTTAAGCCATTGGGGGTGTGCCCTTGAAGAGACCCCTGCCCTTCATCTTCCTATCTCTCTCGCTACCTCAAGTAAGCAGGTTACTCTAATGCACACACTCCTCTCTGATATACTGCCTCACCATAGGCACAGAGATACAGGGCCAACTGTGGACTGAACCCACCAAAAGCTTGAGCCAAAGTAAACCTTTCCTCTGTATAAGTTGATCATCTCTGCTATTTGATACAGTCATGGAAAGCAGGCTAACATAAATACTTTTTAAACTGTAGGTAAGAGCTTTTCTGGAGCTCACTTCTGTTTTCATTGTCTGTTAGCTTACTGCAGGCTCTGTTGAGTACTGTTTTATATTGGCGATTGAAGGAGGTGAGGAAGAAAGGCAAAACACGTAACACTCTTGACAGATGCACTTTCTTCTCTCCAGTGTGGTTTCCAGGCTCTCTCTCAGGACTGAGTGCAGATTTTATCTCTCTTAATGACAGCCAGTGTGTTAGACTTCATGGGGACAGTCAAGGCATTGAGAAAATATTACACATGCTTTTGTATGTGATTACTAAGCCTTCCAAATGTCTGTGCAGTTTTGCTATCACTTTGCCATTTGAGATCCACATGGAGGGCTGTGGCTCCTTCAGAATGAGGTATGCTCTCGAGAGAGATCATTTCCATTGTGGTCTCACAGAGGTTGCCCTGTCCTCCTCCAGATACAGGAGTGTTTGCGGTGGTGAACAGCCGCTCTCTGTCCCTGCTGGGGAAGCTGACCATCAGTGCTGCCTTTAACATCGTTTACATCTACACCTCTGAGCTCTACCCGACCATCATCAGGTGTGTGTCTGCTGCACCTGTGCAGGCTTTGCTCGTGTCGGCCCGGCTCTGGTTCTCCTTCCTTCTGCTTGGGAATCACTGCAGCAGCAGCAGCAGCAGCAGCAGTTTCTCAGACCATCCTGACTCATAACCTCCCTGCAGACTGTGCTCCGCTTCTGTGGCTGAGGAAAATGTAGTTTTGTCATGAGCTGAATTCCAGTTTGTAACCTGCAAGAGAGGCGTTCTACATTAGACGTGACCTGTAACCCAACAGCACTGGATGCTGGATTTTTTTACTCTGTGCAGTGCTGAGGCTTGAATCCAAGGCCTCATGCCTACACACAAGCGCTCTAGCTGAGCTACAAACCTCACTGCTGTTTTTACCTTGGTGGATTGCATTCATTTAGTCACCTACCAGTGATAGACATATAGCAGAGAGGGGAACAAAGTCCCTTTTCTCACACAGCCTCTGTGTTGGCACAAAATATACACATATTGGGCCAGGGATTTTAGCTCAGTGTTTCCACCGCCTGCCTCGAAAGTGCAAGGACCCGAATTCAATCCCCGGTACCAAAACAAACAGACAAACAAAACCACAACAAAATATACACATATTAAAAGATCATTTCATATAGTAATAGGTAAATACTCAATTTAAATATTAGTTGCTAAAGATGGTTTTCATGAATATGCTCTGCTTATATCAAAAGGAATATATTGTGCCCTAAATTTCATAAAATCTATTTGACAGAAAAAAAAAACACACCAAATTTGAAAGATGGGGGTGTCTTTAACTTTTTGCAGAATTCCCTTTGTGGAATAAAAGTCACCCAAAACCCATACCTTTCTGTCTCTCTTATCTGTGAGAAAACTAAGGGTTGTTTCTGCCTGTTGATTTAAATCCCTTTTGCCTAGCAACAGATCAGATTATTTACTCGCTTCCTGATTGTTCTTACAATCTCCTTTGTCTGACTATGGGCTATAAACTAGGATCAGGTGTCCAAATTAGTACACTCCTGAAAGCAAATGGACATTGTTAACAATTAGGCTGAGATAACAGAGTAATGCATAGCCACCCTATCTTGAAATCTCATTCCCTTTGTCTCTCCCTCCCTCTCACCTCTTTCTTGCCTGCAACCCAATAAAGGTAATGTTCTAGGTTTCCTGACAGTAAATGCACAGGCAAGTCCTTCTAAGATGCCTGACTCTTTAATAGCTAATTTGTTGAGTTTAAATGAACGGGCAGACTTTTCAGATCCATAAGCCGTTTCTGTTGCTGTGCTACGTGACTGCGGACAGTAGACCTAAGTCACAAAAACCTGTAAGAACATTTGATAGCGAATCCTCAACTGCTGATTTTTTTTGTGTTGTCTTACAGAGATATACTATCTGTATGACAGTTACTATGCCCAAACCACTATTTAGATTCAATTAACGTTGCATAAGTTAGAAATCCAGTCACATTTCAAGTACTCTGTAGCCACCTGTATCTAGTGACTCTCTGTATTGGGCAGGACAATTCTAGAACATTTCCAGCATCACACAGAGTTCTCCTAGGCAGCACTTCTCTACAGTTTCCTGTGATTCCATTTTGGCATGTTCTATTCTGGGCCCTTTGTGCCTCCCTATGGGGTCTTTAAATCCCCCCACACTCACACACACAACTCACTGATTTTTAAAATTTTACTTTTCCTTATGCCTTTCAGGAACGTTGGGCTTGGAACCTGTTCCATGTTCTCCAGAGTTGGTGGGATTATTGCTCCCTTCATCCCCTCACTGGTTGGTTTGTACCTCCTGGTTTTGTTTTGTTTTGTTTTGTTTTTTTCATCATTGGGTGCTTTGGAAATGCTTGTGTCTTTGAGTAGAAGAATGTAATGAGCAGATACTTTTTAAGGTCAGCTGCCACAGATGTGAACCATGTGCCTTTCAGATGGAGACCCAGTGCTCCATCAGGAGAGAGAGCCAGGGATGCTTCTACCCCGTAGGTGTGATTCTTTGTTTATTTGCATTCACTGCTGGGCCAGCTAAGCCCCCTTTGCTGCCCATTCAGAAGTTAGCTGTGAGATATTTAGTAAGCCTCTGCTGCGGGCTGGACTGTCTGCGAGGCGCTCTGTTCACATCACTGTGTGTAACATACCCAATACTTATATGAGCAATGCTACAGAAATAGACTAAACATCTTTCCCCAAAGCATACCCCTGGGAAAAGAGAACTACAGGAAATTCATGCCCAAATGTGTGTCTGTTCAGATTTTTTTGTTTTCTAAAGTTTGTAGATCAATAAAAGGTGAGACACTAAATGTCAGTCCTAAAACTGTCCCGGTCTTAAAGTGGTCCCATTCTATGGATGAACTCGGGCCCCGTGGAAGTCTTTCCTGGGTCTGGCCTGGGACTTTCCAGCCAGGTGAAAGGTGACTAGATTTGGCATGGGACGGGTTGACCTTTCCTGTAGACAATTGTCATGACTCAGGTAGCTCAGTTCACCATTTCCCAGTCTGGGTTTTCTCTGAAACATCATGGTAGCTGACTCATTTTTTGAATTGCAATATACTTCCTTTTCCTGAGTGTCTCCCTCCATGTTTCATGCTCAATTTTAGGTCCCAAAACCTATTAAAGAACCGTGTTTGCTCCACGTTTCACCTTGCAAAATGTGTGGGACCCTAAATATATGTTATTAAAATGGTCCAACTTTGGGTGGCTACCCTAGGACATTATAACACTCAGCTCTGTGTCTCCTTTGAGTCCTAAGCAGAGGGAAAGTGCTGTGTTCTTGCTTCTGCAGCACCCACAATGCTGGGCCTGATTTTGTTTTTAAGTGATAGAGATGAGATATCCCTGTCTGCCTTCCTTCTTCCTTCTCCTGTTCCTCACTCTCCTGTCTCTCCTTGCTCTCTTTTTCGTTCTTGCATTCTTTCCTTCTTTTTCCATCTTCTCTTTACTTTTTTTGTTTTTCCATACTGGGGATTGAACTCAGGACCTTGGGTTTGCAAGGCTGGAGATGGCACCACTGAGCTAAATCCCCGGCCCATCATCTCTTGACTTTTTAAAAAAATTAGATCTGGGCATGGTGGCTCTCATCTGTAATCCCAGCACTCAGGAGGCTGAGGCAGGAGGATAGCTGTGAGTTCGAGGCCAGCCTGAGCTACATAGTGAGTTCCAGGTCAGTCGCAACTAATAGTGAGATCCTCTCTTAAAAAAACAAAAAAATTTAAAAATTAGGAAAAAGTTGTCCGAGATAAAGTCCTATCGATACCCACAGAATTTAGAAAGCCAAAGCAGAACATAAAGTCAATACCTCGTGTGCTGGAATTTTAGGATTACAGTCCCCTCGGAATGACCTCAAAGCATCATACTTCTGTCTCTTGTGTTGTCTTTGAACCTGTTTGTATTAAAAGAGAATACTGGGGCCGGGCATTTAGCTCAGTGGCTCCACCACCTGCCTCGCAAGTGTAAGGGCCCAAGTTCCATCCCCGGTGCCAAAAAAAAAAAAAAGAAAGAAAGAATATTAATTTGTCCTAAGAATATCCTTTAGCTCTGCGAAGCAATTGCCATTTTACTTTTATCATTTCAATTTAAGTAGCTTACAGACTGCATATGTGATAGGGCTTTTTCTTTTTGGAGTTTTTGTCCCTTTCATTCCTGGGCCTCTTTGTTCTGGTGTTGTGGTATATGGGATGGTTAGACAGATTGTAAGATCGAGAACTTCAACCCTGCACAGGTCTCTCAGATCAGCTGCAACCTCCAAAAGATTAAAGTTCATTGTGAGCAAATATTTTTGGGTGTGGAAGAGGGTGTGGAGGTCACTGTCAAATCCACTCCCCTGGAGCAAAAGCTGGACACCAAGTTTCCTTGTGGACGTGCCCTGCGCAGAGCAGCTGGGCCCCTCACCTCCCACGTGCCCACCCCATGTTGGAGACAGCCCGATGCTTCCGCCCGCACTCCATGTGGCCTGTGGGTTTACTCAGTCTGTGATTTCCCAGGGTAGTTCTCTGTAGTGAAAGAAAAGTGGTCAGTAGCACAGTTCTGGTGGGATGACACAAACTGGGTAGGAACTGTGACAGTTCTCAGTCATGGGACTGCTGCTGATGGCATCTGCCTGCTGAGGACATTCGCTGACCCTGAGTTTTACTTGTTTTCATTCGTCCCATCCCCCTACAGAAATATGTGCAGTGGTCTTTACCCTTCGTTGTGTTTGGAGCCACCGGCCTGACCTCTGGCCTCTTGAGTTTCTTATTGCCAGAAACTCTTCACAGCCCGTTGCTAGAGACGTTCGCTGACCTTCAGGTGTACTCCTATCGGAGGCTGGGGGACGAAGCCATGTCTTTGCAGACCTTGGATGCGTTGCAGGTGTGTTGATGTTCATCCTGTCCATTTGCAGCTTCTGCTTGGAGATGACAGTCGCTGGTGGCGGGTGGATGGGATGTAGTTTGTGTTAGATTAAATAGAATGGAAAACAAAGGTGGAAATCGAACAGCTGGTGATTTTCAGAAAAATAAAGATGGCTGAAGATCCATTCGATTTTTAAAACACTTAGGGGGTGCTCCTTGGGGAGGCAGATGTCATAAAAATGTATGTCCGTTGAACAGCCAGGTGGAAGTTTTCATTTTAGAAATGCCATGATGTAGTCTCCCTGCCCTCTGCTCCTTTCCCATTTCAGCCTGAGGACAATGAGAGGACTTTAGAGAGTGAGAATGAGGAGGAAGAAGAGTTTTTCGATGCAGACGAAGAGACTCAGATGATCAAGTGAGGAGCTCCAGCTCCCTGATCAGAACCGAAGGACCATCGTTTGTGCCCATGACCGAGGCAGGTTCTCCCATGAGTCCTGAAAGAGCTGGGAAAGACAGCTTTGGCTCCAACACACACAGGTAGTACTCGGCATGGACTGATTCTTGTTAAAGTACAAAGGAAGCTGGAAAAGAGATTTCATCCGAGAAGCTTCGCTGCATTGAGGGACACATTCTTCTCTTGTCCAGCGTGGAAGTTCAGCTCAGAATCTTGACCTCTGGCCCCGTAGCTCTGGTCTACAGGAGCCTGATTTGTGTTCACAAGTTTGATGGCATTGCTTTTCTTTCTTTGTGACCCAGAAGCAGATAAGTAAATCTTCTCACCATTTTGGTGGGAATAAAAAAACTGTTCTTAAAATTGAAACTTCTTATGTGTGACATCTGCTGCCTACCGCTTGTCCTGCTCACCAGGACAGCTTCAGGTGCAGGTCGGTGTCAGCATTTCATTTTGCAAGGAAAGAACTGTCCTTCGAGCCCGAATGGGTGCCCGAGGTCCTCCACCTTTACCCTGGGGGCTGACACCAAGTCCTGTTTGTTTTCCCACTCTGGCGGTTGACCTGGCTTCTTTCCGTTTAGTCCCAGAGATGATTCACTGCTAAGAACCGGAGGTGTGGCTGTGGCCTGGTAGCCACCTTTAATAGTTAAATCATGTGATTTCTTCAGTTCCCAATTATAAGCGCCTCCCGGAAAATTTCCTTCTGAGAGTCTAGCAATAACTTTAGAGTCCTGCACCATAAACAATAAAGCTTTATAAAGGTGGAGAGCAGTTAAAAGTGACATGTGGAACTCTTAAGATGTTAAAAAAAAATTGCAGATCTTAATAAGGGACAGAAGAATTACCTTTATCGCTTCTTGGCCTTTTGGCTAAGATCAAGTACAGAAGAATTATCTTTGACAGTTTTTTCTTTGTTTTGCTTTCAGTGTTGTATAAGAAAAGACTTGGGCGACACTCAAGAACTTGTACTCTTCTTGCCCTAAATCAGCCCCTACTTGGTTAGGCAGAATGGAAGGCACAGGCATTTCTTAGGAATTGTTGAGTTTTTAAATTAATTCATTATCATTTACACATAAATAAAAAATCTTAGTCCCTTAAAGTCATGGGCTGAAAATATCTATTTCTCCATGAAACCTAAATACTGTCTCCGAAAGTATAAAACTAGGGGTCAGCATGCTTGAGCTGCATTGTTTGAGGTCACTTTCCCAAGGGCTGGGGATTTAGCTCAGTGGTTCTGCTGCCTACCTTGCACGTGCAAGGACCCAAGTTCGATTCCCAGTACCAAAAAAAAAAAAAGAGAGAGAGAGAGAGAGGTCACTTTCCCAATGAGGAGAATGTCTGTGTTTTCAAAACTTCCATTTTATCTAAGCTCTTGGAGAAGGAGACAGTGTATGAAAGGTAAAGGGAAGGTGTCACTTGGCTCCGTACACAGCTCCGTTCTCTTCCGTGTTGGCATCTTGGTTTGCACTACATTCATTGTACCGTGGTATTTGTTAAAATATGTTTGTGTCCTTTATGTCTTTGACTGTGTATTGGGCTGTTCAGAAATGGCCTTGATCACTCCTCCTTTTTCCTTGCGGCGCCCAGAATGCTAGCCTAGACACAGTAAGAACCTAAGAAATACTACTGTTTTTAACCATCAAAGGAGACGTGGCACTCCTCCAAATATCATTTTTGCAAATCCCACACAACTCTTTCACATCCCAAGCTGTGAAACTCTCCTTATTTTTCTCAGAAAATCGATCTCCCCACCACTTGGAGAGGGAAAAAAGAAGAACTTAACACTCACATTTTTGTTAAATGGTCAAGTATTTAAAATAAAACGATGAACTAATGTATATATAATTTTTGGTTGTGTGGAGCTCTCTTTTCATTACAGTAGAACTATAACTCAGTATTTGGAAACCAGGAGTTAGAAAATGTGTCTCCTGTAGGCCCAGCACCCAGAGACAACCAGTATTATGGCTTCCCTCTCTGTGAAGACTGATTGAGAGTCCATCTCTTCTGCCAACAAAGTTCCTGCTGCCTTGGGCTAAATAAATGAGGGTTCAGTTTGTTATGTCCCTAAGGTTTCCTCTTTTCCTAGATAGGAAGTAGAATAAAGGAAGGAGGGAACCACGGGTTGAATATGTGTTATTTAACAAGTCAACTGCTCATACCAGATGAATCATTAAATTTTGTTTCTTTCTGAATAGTCCTTTTGCAAAAGTTTAATAACTATTGTTTTTTAAATTTGCATAGCCTTTATAAAAATAGATTTTTAAAAACTGTTGAAGAATATTTGTGGTAGAGAATATGCATTGTGCATTCATTAAATTATTAGAAAAATGCTCGGTGCAGTAGTGCTCACCTGTAGTCCCAGCCTTTGGGAGGCTGACACAGGAGGATTCCTGCACGTTCCAGGCCAGCCTGTGCTACATAGTGAGTTCAAAGCCAGCCAGGACTACATAGTGAGACCTTGTCTCAAAAAAGCAATAATAACAAAATAAAAAATAAGTTATTAGAAAAATTTTAATTGGTAGTAACATACTTCATGGGGATGATTTGTAAAAAGTATTCTGATGGACTTTTCCATTTTATTCAAGATAAATTTCTTTGTCCTAAAAAGTACCAGGAAAAATCTAAGACAAATTAAAACTTCCAAGGCTTCCAGCTCCAAAGGTCTTCTTAACAGTCCAGCCAGAAGCTTCACGCTGCATATCACTGCATGGTATATTCCAAGAAGCCATGTTGCTGTTTCCTGGTTTTGTGAGTTAAAATGATGACCTCTTGAAAAGCTGATGGTTGTCTCTTGGATACAAGCAATAGAGACATTCTTTAATATTTAGTCATGAACAAATAAATACAACAAATACGAAATGAAAATTTCCAGGGCACTTCTTAAGTAACTACAACCTGAACAGATATTTTTATGTTGATCATAGGTGCAGATACTTTTACTAGATGATTTATATTCTGAACAAATATATTTTGTAATAATTGTCATTGTTATATCAGAATTAAAATACTACTTTTCAGTAGGATTTATTTCTTCCTACAGATTTTTGATCATTGGCCCTTAAATTATAAAGGTATTTAGAAAGGATTAGATTTTTCTTAACTAAATAAAATGCAGGTATTTGAAATTTTTATTAGTTTAATAAAAGATTCCAAAACACAGCCCTTTTCTTTTGTTCCTACAGAATGTGTTGAGATGTGCATCTTTGACAAATATTTTACCTGCTGGAAATGGTAGGTGATCTGTGGGGCAGGATTTGTAGCACACTGGGAAATCACAGGCATGAAAGATAACCATAAAAACACTTTTAGAAAAAGAAGGCAAAAATGGTACATTGTGGGAAATCCATTAATGCAGTACAGCAAAGAAGACGGACCTTATGATTACCTCAGCAGTCGCATGAAGACTGTTTTGACAAAATTCAAATTTTATTCACGATAAAAGCTGTCACCACGTGACAAAAACAGGAAACTTCCTTAGCAAAATAAGAAATACCGAGGTAGATATGGTGAATTGGCACATAGCACCCCCTCCTGGTACCTGGACCTCCAGACTTGTGTGTGTGTGTGTGTGTGTGTGTGTGTGTGTGGTATGGTGGGGGTGGTGGGGACCTTGTGCTTGCCTGGCAGGAGCAGTGCCACTGAGCAAAGTCCCCAGACCTTCTGACTTTCTTGATCCAGATCTATAGTAAGAAATGTTTCTTATGTATTCATTCTCTTTCTTTCTCTGTCTCTGTCTCTTTCTGTCCTTGCCAACATATTACATATATAATGTGTGCATAGCTTTGTGAAACAATAGTTATTCTTGCTAAGCGTACTGATAACCTATAATCTGTTCCATTTTCATTTTTTTCAATGCCATTCTTTACCTGCTAGAAAATTTCATGACCTGCAACACGTAGTTTGAAACTCACTGTTCTGCTTTTTTTCCTCACAGTTGGGTTTCTGGTTGTGGTTTAGTTTCAGTCCATCAGATACAGATGGAGTTTGAAATGTGGAAGGAAGGTGGAGGCTTGTTTTGATTTTTTTTTTCTGGTTATTTTTTGTTTTGTTTTCTGCTGGGATTCACAGCAGTAGAGTTGTTAGTGTCTGTGTGAAGTACTTTATTAGCAGAGATGTTGGCAAGCAGGGACTATATTAATTAAGACCTTAAAATTTTTTTACGTGGAACTTGGAATGATAATTCTGGTATTCAAATGCAAACATAAAGATCTAAAAATAGTTAAACTCCTAAAACAGAAGAACAAACAAAAGGACTTCTTTCCCAATGGATACTCTTCTCCAAAATCAATTTGAGAAAGGTCTCTGGATTATTTAGCTCTGAGAAAGCTACTCACAGACAACTGGAAATACCCTCATTCTACCTTAATCTTTTCATTATGCCATTTTACCATTTTGTGCAAAGTTATAACTAGGATGGGAATACATTTGAAAGATAGTCTTTTTTAATAAGGATTGATTGTTAAATAATAATTTTGCCTATATATTTCCAGACTTATTATCAAAATGCTGTTTAGCCTCCTTAGTGAACAATAAATGAATTTGTTACTCATGTTTTTTAAACTGATGCCGCCTTGTCCCCAGAGAAGGGTAATCCCTGTCCTTGTGAAGGAATTCTTTGGGGGGATTTTGGCATAATCATCAATGTTATAATATTCATGTCTCTTAAAATAATTAATCTAATGAAAATAAGAACTGCAGAAATGCTGTCAGTTTTGCTCCTGGCATTTGAGAGTTGATCCGTGAGGAAACAAAAATCATTAGGTGTTAAATCAATATTTAGATTTTTCTGTGTGTTCAAACTCAAAAACTGGTTCCTTTAGATTACCTAAAACATAAATTACCTTGGATCTGTCAGAAGAATAAAAACCTACTTGAAAATAAATCCTAAGGGGAAAATTGATAGGTTGGTTGTACTTACTTCTCCATGCTTCCACATGGCAGGAAAAAAAAAAGTGTTTATTTGTGAATAAGTAGGTTCCCAGCTCAGAAAGTACATCAGAGCCCACTGGACTATTGGATTCCATGGCTGCTGACACTAAGGTCACAGGAGACACAGCATAGCAGACCCACTTTTATCTGAAGGAATTAATGATCCTCTCAATCTGGGCCACCAGAAGAGGGCAAGGCTTGATAAGGAATCATCTGATAAGGAGAAGAAGAGCAAATGGAAGGCTGGAGGGCTAGGAGTGGCAGAGAATGTTAAAGGGGGAGATGTCAGCTAAGAACAAAATTAGTGTTGTTTTGGTTGCATGCAATAAAGTATTAGAGTGAGTTAAACAGAGAAATAGAATCATTACTTGATTACTTGACAAAGGTGCTATGAGACCCAGGGAGAAAGGGACCCCAGAAAATTTGTGTATCTTGTTTCCTTTAAGCGTTTCAAACAGATTAAGAGCTTGAGGCTTATCCTTAGATATGCCTAAAAGATCGAAGAATGCCTTCTAATAGTTTCTAGTATTCAAAACATGTATTTCAGAGCAAAATCACATGTATTCCTTGGTTATTTTGAGCACTGACTATGTGCCAGGTCTTATTCTACATGGTGGGTTGAAAGCAATAATGTGCATTAAGTTCCCCTTGAGATGATGTTTCCTTGGACTCTGTCCAGTAATGATGGTGACGGAGAGGAGAACAGAGGCATCAGCATGACCGTGCCCTGGGTACTGAGCACCACCACGTCACCAGGTCAGGTACACCCCGTAGTTATGTCATAGTCCTCACAGTTCTACTAGGTAGGCTGATCATCCCTGCTCTGCTGCTGAAAACAGTGAGTGAAGCTAAAAGGCACCACTCTCTTCCAGAGTCACAGCTAGTAAGTAAGTGGTAGTGCTAGATCTAGATCCCATGTTTCATAGGTCAAGGCCTGCGTGCTGCATTGTGCCCCCTGCCTAGAAAACAACACTGGACACTTCAGTCTCAAAGAAATGGGTCCCACGCCTCTCTGGCTTTCAGGACAAGAAAAAGCCATTGAGAAGAACAGGCATGAATGAATCTTTCTTTATGATGCCAAGATTCATTTTGATCAGGCTTCTTCTGGATGCAGATCACGTTAAGAATTCCAACTGGATAAGATGCCCCATTTTTTAGAAGCATGGAGTGTTTTGTTCTCTGCAGAATTGAATCAGTGGAGGAATACACTTGTCATTTAATAGTCTGGATTGACAGAATCTTGTCAAAGGTCAGGTTCTTCATTCATGGGCCAACTCCAGGTGCAGTTTCAGTAAAGAAGATGAGAGAATTCTTCACATCTGCAGGGTGCCCTTTGGGATTGCTCTCATTATTTTCTTTGGAGAAACTATTTACCTGCTATTCCATTCCACCCAAGACATTAAGACCTAACCAGAAGCCAACTGTTGGCACCTCCAGTGTGAGCCTTGCCACAAGTCTTTGACCTGAATGAGATTTTGAAGGTAGTGAGTGGAGAAGACTAGCAGGAGGGATGTGAAGATGAAAGACCTTGGTGAAATTGGAACCTCAGATCCAAGTTAGGGGAACTGGCGAGTAGCAGAAGTGTATTTGCTTTTAGGAACGAGTGTTTTGAAGAAATGAGATTTCAGGCTGAAGTTTCTGCTAAGGATTCACGGAAGTCTAAGTCACATAATTTCTAAATTATCTCTCACTTTGTGCTTCAATTATGCCAGGAACTAAAATCTGTTATTGAGGTGAGGTGCTATCAGGAAAGGGGTATAAACATTTCCTCTGGCAAAGACGACTTCCCTTATCAATCAGCCGCATTTCAAGGCCCAGGGCAAATAACTAGAATTTCTCAACTGCCACCATTTTTTCTTCTGCTTTCCTCCTGAAGTTTTCTTATTTGATGCACAATAACTTTTAGCTTTGGGGTAGTTCAAAATATTCCCCCAAAGCAATGTGAGTACCCTCTGAGGTTTTCTAATCAAAATCGTGTAATTGTTTTAGAATCAGGGAGATATTCTCATTTCCTTCGTATCAATATAAAATGTCTATAATTACACCTGTATTATAATGTTTTGATAATTGCTAAGTGGTGTATTTGTAAAATCCCAACTGCCAGCTAATACAGCTTCAACAACTATACTACTTAAGAACTGTCAAAGAGTTTAAAACAAAGCTTTAATACACACATTTTTTTAAAGTGGGTTTTG